GATGGTAAAAATAATATTATTTAGAGGAAATAATATTTCAATAAAAAAAAATGTATTTCATTATATATTAAATATCGTCCTATTGGAATAAAAAGAAATTCTTTAATATTTCTCTAATATAGCGTTACTTCTTTGAAATAATTTATTGCTTGTGAAAATCATTGTAATGTTTAAATGATAAAATAAAAAAATATATTATTTGACATGAAGATATTTGTCGTTCGAGAAACCAAACAATCCTGTTTGTTGGATCAAACATTCGTTTGTTTGCTCCATTCGAAAAGACAAATTTATTTCAATTAAAATATTATTATTAAATTCAAAGAAATCTTTTCTCTCTGTGTAGTAGACCGACGTTAGACACAAATTTATTATCTCATGGCTAGGCACTCGCAAGATTCAATCTCTACTAAGATACAGTGTCGACGATAAGAATCTTATATTCATATTGCTACAATATTTTGGATTGAAACCAGAAAAAGATACGGTTGAGGTCGAAAACACAATAATTTCCGTGGGTTTGCTCTCAGTACGCGCACGTACGTATCATCGATCAAATCGCAGTCGAGGGTACTCTCGATAATTTTCAGGCGGAGAAGCTGCCGTCCGCCGCGCAGATAAACAAAATGCCCACGGAATGGCTCGTAAACGCCGGCGAATGGATCCCGGCACTTTTACTGCCATATCGTCTAGGCCGCCATCTCGACATCATCTGCGAGGAGGATCCTCGAGAACGTTTTTATCGCGTGCGGCCACTCGAAATCGTTCCTCGAGACCTAGAATCTCCAGAGTCTCCGACAGATTCTCCCAACGATTCGTCTCGTTGGAAATTCATTCGCGAACTAGCATCTGATTATACTTCACGCGCTAATTGTTCACGTTGATTAACACGTGAAGTCGCATCGGCGAAGTAAGAGTCCACGTGGCAACTTTGACAAATGAAATTCACGAGTTCACGAATAAGCAATACTCCGTAAGTAAGTCGCGAAGCAGCTTCGCGCGCGGGCTCGTCTCCGGGCGAGCGAGTCCGGGCTCGACACGTTGCCCCCGGAGGATCTCGCTTCCGCCTGACAATTCGACTTCGATTTTCGGAGTCGCGTTTTCCATTGTACGTTCGTCCGACGTTCCAGATCTTGTTACTCTTCCGTCTTTCTTCTCGCCTATCTAATACTACTACTCTCGCGTCTTCACCGTCGGCCACCACAGCCAGCTGTCTCGGTCGCACGTAACCGCGGCCCAACGGCGAGCGTCAGACAAAGACTTCGCGTCTGTCAGCCGTCTCTCCGCCGCTTCCACGGGGCTAGGACGACGAGTAACAGCTCGAGTAAAAGTCCGCGCATTGACAAATCCCGGGGGAGCGTAGATTTGACGAACGGCGTATATTTTATTCCGCCCCCACTGCGCGCCTTTTCTCGCGTGCTCTTTCTCTCTCTCCCTTTCTCGTCCTCTTCCCCTTCGTGCTCCTCCACCACGCACCCTCCCTACCAAACTTAGATCAATATGTTGCGTCATGTACCCCCCGCCCAACGTCTCACCGTCCTCCCAGCCACCCACTCCTCCGACACCTCCGCACCCCACTCCCTTCCCCGTGAACCAGCGCCGCAAGTGACGTCACGCAGGGACGCGCCCCATTCATAGGCTCCCACGCAGAGAGTCCAGGCCGCGACGACGGAAAAAAGGAGCGGAACCGTGGAAAGGAAGGAGAAGAAAACGTTCGCGCGACGGCCGTCGCCGGCATGCATGGGGGAGTACGGCCGTCCTATCGATTCGCCTCGAAGGTGTCGCTTGCCTGCTGTAATTTCGTCGTTTTCGCGCGAGACGCAATTAAACCGGCGGACCTCGTGCACAAGAGAGGGTCCCGCTCGCTCGCGCGGCGAACGACGCGCGCGTCGTTGCGCCAGCACGGATCGATGATATCGTAACGACGCGCGTTCTCTCTCTCTCTCGACCTTCTAACACACACAGCTTCTTTCTACTTCACCCTCTCTCGCGACGGTGACGTTTATCATTGTCCGTACTTGCGTGCAGCCGTGACGGAAGCGTGCGTAGCGTCGCACACGTGTATGCGACGGAGCTTTACACATCCCCCTCTCCCACAATGGTCGTGCGCGCAACCGAGCGTGCCGGTCGGAATTGGAATGACCAGCGTCATTGATCAGCGCGTGCTCGGATTACTTTTAATAATTCGGAGAATGGAGCTTTTCTCGGTGAAGGGGATGAAGAAGGGTGCCGATGGGCTCGAGACAGATAAGAGCCGGGGAGTTTCGGGAGGCACGCTTACGATCGCGGGAATATACAATTCGTATTATTAGAGGCGTATCGATTTTTGCCGCTCTTTCTTTATAGAATTATAATCGGGTATCCAGCCCGCACGACTAATCCGTCGCGGAACGCTCGTTAAATAGAACCAGAAGACACGGTGATCAATAAAGTCCAAGTTGCCGGCTAAAAATAATACGGACGGATCTAGCGTTACGTTATTTCGACTCGCCGAAACGTACATATTCGCATCTGTGCCGGAAAGCCGCGTTACACGCGCACCGCGCATTTGCGCTTTATACAACGAACGGCAAGCAGAGCCGTCGACGACGTAATTAACCCTCAGATAACAAGAATGGTCGGATCCATATTCCTCCGCGAACACGCTTGTAAAGTGTCATATTTCTACATATTTTGCGATATACTTTATTCGCGTTTAAATATTTTCTAACTTATTGTGAGAATAAAATTGCCTAGTCGAAAAAATTAGTTAAAAATCTCACGGAAGAAAAAGTTTGGTTCTTTCAACCAGAGAGGGAGCAACCGGGTGCATTTTGGTTGAAGGAAACAGAATTTCTGATTATAAGAACCACATCTGGCTCATAAGAAAATCTGTTTCAACCAGCACGCATTTCTGGTTGTTCTCCTCTTTCTAGTTGATGCAACTAGATTCTTTTTTCCGTGTTACAAAATCTTTCTCCTGCTTTTACGGGTCGGATTCGACTCATATGAACATTGTTATTTGAGGGTTAAACGCGCTTTCATGTTCGAACTCCGTTAATAAGTAGCGCAGCCAGATTCCATCCCGCGACAATCCACAGACTCCCTCGTACTCTCTTTCTCTTCCTTTCCCCCTTTCTCTCTCTCTCGTTATTTCTGTATTATTCGGCATGAGGGAGGATGGGCGCATTCGCGAATACGCTAAATCGATATTGTAACGTACGTACGTACGGACGTAAGCGCACCCACACGGGCACAAAAAGGTGGCCGGCAACGCGGGGGTGAGAGAATAATATTTGCGAAAGAGAAGATAATCGCGTTAGCGCGGAACAGGTGCGAATTCGACGACGTCGACGATGTTAGTGTATGGCGAGAATCCGCGCGCGCGCGGATATCTCCGAATACGACGGCGGGGGTGGGAAACGGGAGCGGATAATAACAAAGTTTTAAAAGCACGGCCGATATTCGTGCGCACACCACGTCCTGCTCTACCCACACCGGACGTTAATCCTTCATCTCCGTCGATGAAAATCCGGTCGAAATTGCGCTCAGTCAATGAGCGAGCGAACGAAAGCGGGAAAATACTGCCTATGTAAATGGGAAAGGAACGTATTCTCGTCTTACCATCTTTGTCCCCCCCCCCCTCCCC